ATGATTCCCAAATATCTTTCTTGAATTTGCAACTAATTCTGCATAATCATAGTCAAATTTCTGGCCCTCACTGTTACACTTCCCCTGCCACCCAGTAAGGCAACTGCCACACTGACACTTTTAAAAGGGTTAAAGGCAACTCATTCTGAATGTCAAGGTCCTCTGAACAACTTCAAAAGTGTACAGAGAATGGCATCATACCCTATGAATAATGTACCCAAAACACAGTTTTGCAAGAAGCTGTATTTCACTAATAAGCTGAAGATGGGGACAATTTAGATCTTCAGCACACCCACAGCTTAAAAAAATTAGTAGATTCTGAATAATAAAAAATAAACTGCCAACTAGGTTGCTTCCTCTAGCCAGGGAGGGGTCTATGAAGGCATTTACTGCCATGCCCAACCCTTTTCCACCCCTCCCACAGCTAGACACTCAACAGATCCACACTGAGACAGGAGCCTGAGCAGAGCAAAGCTCTAGGAAGAAACCATCCATTTCCTTGGTTTCCCTTAGAAACTTAGAATCCCTCAGAAACTCTCCATTCCCTTGGCCTCACACGTCAAAACACAGAGCACAAGCTGGCTCAGTGCTGCAGAAGCAGCTCATCATTCCCTGGCATACAAATACTCTTTAAAAAGAAAGAAGTCAAAGCCAGAAACTCCACCAAAAAGCAGCAGAAAGGCAGGCACCCTGTATTAATGGAGCCAATACTAATGACCACACTGGAAGGGAAAAGGCTCCTTGTTAGCAGAGGCCTTTGCTGTGCCCATCAGCCACCAAAGTCACACTGCAATGTACCTTCCACACAGGCTTTGTCTGCAGCTTCTGTCTTGGCCTGTGCTTAGCTCCTGGTGCTCCAAGATGGATTTCACCTCCCCAATTCAATCCCCAACAGCAAATCATCAGCACTATTTACAACCTTGGCACCTGCAGCCAACCATGATGCTTTTCAGGTAGCTTGGGGACACAAGATCTGCTGTTCAAACTGCAGGTTTGATCTACTGCTGTGCAAGAAGGTCCATCCCCAGCTCCCCACCTTGCTTCCCCACCTCATTCACAGGCACCACACCTCTGGTGTGAGGGCAGCCCTGCAGACTGACAGTTCATGGTGGGAGGCAGCAGATTTCCCACCAAAACTAGCAGAAACATGCTGGGCAAGGGCTGCATGGCTGAAGTGAACAGTGATGACCACTCTCCTGACAACTGCTGCACCAACTTCTACAGTCTCCACAGCAGACAACTCATATGCCAATTGTATGCTAAGCCCTGGGTTTCTTATGCAAAACCAAAGAAAGCCAGTTATTGTGTAAAACAGGAATGCTGATGGCACCTCACAGCTCTCAGGCTTGCATACTGCCCACAAAGGCCAGACCAGTCTTTCTGACTGGACAGAAAAATGAGGAAGGAACATGTTGCCAGAGAGCTGTCAAGAGCCCAGCTCTTCCCACACAGCCTCAGGTCTCCAGCAGGCCCTGCCATCTCCAAACTCCTTTTTTGGACTTCTATTAAGTCCAAATTCATATTGGTGCCATTCAGCCCCTGCTGAAATTGAAGGCCAAGAGATGGTATCACCCTAGCCTGCTTCAACCCCAAAGAAGGACTTCACAGTGCAGCACAGGGTCCTGCCAGGTGGCCCACCAGATCTTCAGGAAGAGGTGAGTGAATTACCAGCATGTCCCCCTTGAAGGGAACAAGAGGAGGTGGCCAAGGGGAGGGAAAAGTGAGCCTGGGGATGCTAAGGCCACCATGTGCTGCTTTAAACTATGCTCTCTGTGCCTCAGTTTCTCCTACTATGAAAACAGCAGCTCAAGGCCAGTTGGTGGGGACACAGCAGCATGTCTGCCATACAAAAATTAGCAGGAAGAAACAAATTCTTAAACATAACAGAGATTTGGGATATTTCCTCAACAGCCTTCAGTGAGAACCCTCTGTTTCCTCTGAACATTGCAATGGGAGCAAGGAAAAACCCATGTTTTAGGGAAGTGGTTTGTGCAGTGAAATTGAGCCACCTCTGCTCCAGCTTCTAGCTCCATGTGAACATGAATTTCTCACAGGAAGAACTTGGCATCAGGAAGAGCTCAACCATGCACAGACCACTCCAGAGCAGACTCATCTCTTCCCTTCAGAAAAGCACTGAATTCCAGAACCAAAAGGTTTCCCAGAACTAAAATACTCACAACAATGCCATGGTACTCCCTTAAAACTGGGGCCTCAATGTTTTTGGCTGTTATCTTCCTGTGGCACACCACTGTGTGAGACATGCCTGCTCCTTCCCCATGGACAGCCTCTTCCAGGAGCATCCCAGTTCCCAGAGAGACAGGAGCACAGGGCACAAAGGAGAATCTCCATCAAGCTGCTGCACTATTTTTAAGTGAAAAACAAACCTAACCCCTTTGTTTTTCCAGCAAATTCTGCAAAATGCTTTTCAGTACTATTTTCCCTCTGTAGGCCAGATAGCCAGGACACTCAAATCCAGCATTCCTTGAACAGAATCAGAAATTAAGGTCAGCTAGAAGATGAGTGTGCTAACTTTTTGTCATAAAAACTGGGCTTTTCCTAAGTTATTAACACCATGCACCCACCCCACAAGCAGCAATGCCTTTTCTGACCACATAACCCTGGGATCATGGAGTTCAGCCTGAGGATGGGAACCAGCCTCCTGTTTTTATCTCAAAATAGCATCACCATCCCAGAATATATTTCAGGGAAGGCAGGAACAGAGCTAGCCATATGCATTCTGCTCTAGAGTGCACAACAGGGAAGGACACTGAAGGGAAAGCTCATAAACCAGCAGAATGGATACAGCTACCCTTGATCAGCTGCCATCTGCTAATGGGGTGGAGCTATTTTGTTTCAGGCTCAGTGGTGAGCATTCATTGCACCAGAAGATGCTGACAAGCATAACTTCTCAGCAGAGCAAGATCCAAACAGTTTCACATTAATTCTCCACTGACATTTTGATTCTCCAGGCTACTTCTAATAGGATTTTTTTCCAGACAGATTATTTGCCCAGAGAACACTACCCTGTCTGATTCTCCAGTTAACATTAATTATTGACCAAGGAAACTGAACAAACAGCTTCACTCCAGAGCCCAGACTACAACTCTAGACCCTTTCATCAACTATGGGGCAGCATATCCACTATCTGGAGCTCTTCCAACTCCAAGAAAGGCACTCCACCAAGTTCTGTGTGTGTGACTATCACAGGCTTTCAGATAAACCAGCCACTGGTGAATAACAGCCAGGAGCAACCAACAACAGAAGCTTCTCTGAGCTGCTTCTGGAGCTGTACAAAGATATGACAGGGCCAGAGAGCTCATGAGAAACACATTTAGACCACCACAGGGAAGAGATCTCTTTCAGAAAGCAGGCACAGCTTCCAATCAGCCATCATACCACCTCAAAATCCTTTCAGGAAGTTAGGCAGCTCTTCATTTGCTCTCCTGGATAACGTGTCAAACAGCTGCATTCCACCAGCCACTGAGACACACCTCCACTGGAGTGATACTCCATTGGAGAGCTTGGGGAAAAAATACCATGTTATCTCCGAGCAGAAATCCCACAGTTACATCAGGAGGCAGCACACAAAGCACACCCCTGCTTCGGGCTGACATTCCAGACTTATCAACGTCTCTGATCTAAACTCTCTGCTAAGCACTTTGTCTGAAGGGAACAACGGTATCATTTAACTCCTCAGCTCCCAGAGCTCAGGAATATCAGTTACCTCTGCCACTCGAATTCCAAATATTCCAGTTATTATGACTGAGATGGTGGAGTCCACACATCTGTCCCTCCCCAGTTTCAGCAGTAGGGAGACCAGGGTGCAGACCTCTATAAATCCCAGCCCTGAAATTCCAGCCCCGTGGAAAAGAAGGTTAGTAACACATTTGCAAAATAAAGCACTTGTGGCAAGTCTACAAGACATATTGTTCCAAATGCTGAACACCTGCCTGTCAACCTGAGCAGCCAGAGGCACACAGGAGACAAAGGACAACAAAGTTTTGAGTTTCCCCATTATCATTTTGTTCCCCGAAAGAGGTAACATGAGAGGTTAGGAGAAATAAAGTTCATTCTAGAAGACAGCTCTAAAGAGAATGATGTCAGGACAATTCTTTCCAAGGTAAGTGTCTGAGAATCTTCCCTCTGTGGTCAAACCCTGCTGCAGAACCACCCTGAATCAGCAGGACTCCAGCTTGTGCCTCTGCTTTGCTGCAAATTCACACGTGGGGCAGGGACCAAGGCACAGAGAAATGACCATAGGAGGGGTAGGAGGTGGCTACAGATAATCAAGGAGGAAGTGGGAATCAAGTCCCAACAGGTTGAAGAGGTGTTTTAAAGAAGGAACACAAGACAAACTGGGATGACCCTTCAGACTTACTTCCCTCAGACATTCCACATCAACTTAAAAACCATCCCCCAAACTCTTTCTTACGGAGGGGATGTCAGTAAATCATCAAGGGTTAGTGTAAAATAATCTGGTTAAGACAGAGAAAATCCAGATGCTTGTGACCCTGAATGATCAGGTCTCTCCTTACACTGGCCTGTGGGCCTCTTCCCCTTATTTCAGACAGGCTGGCAAGCTCTGGCCATTCAGATACAAGAGAGCTCTGTGGGTTACTCAGCTGAGGACCTTGCAGCTGTACTGCCTAACCAGGTCATTTCTGTGCCATTACCATGCAAAAAAACCATCTTGTGCTGAGGATATAATCAAGGGCTACATCTAAAACAATTCAGCAAAAGCAACCAAGTCCTGCTAATAATATAATCAAGACAGTAAGAGCCAAGAAGGAATGCAATTTTAACTTGAGCTCAGCAGAAAATCACACATGTTGCAAACATCCAGGAAGTTTGGTTCTCCTTTTTTTTAACACCACCAGCTGTCCCTGCCCAGACCCCAGTTGGGCCTGGCATAGAGCAAATAACCTCCCCAGCCCCATTGGAAAGACCCTTCCTCAGCCCAGCTGCAAAGACATGAAAGGAGAAAGCAGAGAGAGCCTTACCTGCTACTTCCACAATGTGGTGCCTGGCAATGTCATAGTAGGGATCATCCCACTGCAGGTGAGTGACAGGCTCTGGGGAGCCTTTGGAGTCCTCTGCACAAAACACAGGGAACAAGCAGTTAGAAGGAGGGATCTGGAGGACCTTGACAAGGGGTACAACAGAGCCAGAGGGATGAGAAAAAATGGCTCTTCTACATGGGAGGGATTAATGGTTGCACCTGCCCACCTTGGAAACCCACCTTTGAAATTGTGAATGGATGAGAGCAGCAATGACTTTGGAAGAGACCTCTCAATCCCATGAGGTCCATGTGTGTCCCTCAGACCATACACCCTCCCAAAAATGACTGTTTAGATGTGTCACAAACATTCACAAAGACCAACACCCCAGTGCCAAGGGCACCAGCATGGCTTTCTAGAGCAGAAGGATCTTAACATAGTCCCTTGATGGATGGCCATCCCATATGCTCTTCAGCTAATTTCCCTGACCTCTCTGGGCAGCAGTCTGTAGTACAGGATTTCAGAGGAACACCTCAGATCTCCTGCCCACATGGAAGTTCAAGACTCTTCCACTCAGGAAGGCCAAATTATCCTATAAGAGACTATAACAGAAGACACTCAAGGACTTACAGCATGTCTGTACTGTCAGCAACAAAGTGTGGTCAGCCACAGGACTGAGAAGAGTGTGTTTACATCAGATCTGAGCTTTTTAGCACTGATCTATGGCAGGGACATAATTCATTTGGGTGTGGTGCAAGATTAATGTGCCTATAAAGCTCTCAAATGGAGCTGGGGCTCTCTGTATATGTAGATATGACCACAATGCTGCAGGACAAACAATTCCTTTTTGGCCAAAAGCTAGACCCCAAACAAGCCAGAGACTTACCCAATTTGGGAAAAGCAGGGGCTTCATCTGCTGGCCAGCTCTTATCATCTATGGGGGTCAGTTTGAGCTGGCTGAGGGACTGGTTGGTGTCATCCAATTTTAGGTCATCCTGAAGCTCTGAGAGTGGGTCTGTAGCCATGGTCCCCAGCTACTGCAGCTTATTTTGCAGCGTCTAAAATGAGAACTGCAGAGAGTGCTGGGTGAGACAGAGAGCTCACAAGTTTAGCTCGCTATAAAGGCTCCTCCTCTTGTCACCCATCTTCCCCAAACACTCCTTTATCTTATCCAGAGATCATACTGCCCCTCCCCCTTCACACAGGCGGGAACTCCTCCTCCAAGGCACGTCAGATTCAGGCTCTTTCACACCAACTGCTATCCAAAGGCCATCAGGAGCCTGTGCCCACCCCCTCAGCCAGTCTTTGCTCGACCACAGCTCCATACAGAGCAGTTTCTCTCCTGAAGACTAGTGTCTGCTGTCTCAGGAAGACACTGAGGAAGGCGACATGCTACACCAGCCCCTGCCTGATACACTCCGTGTAGGAGCTGAGCTCCCCCTCCCTCCGAAGGGCTGGCACAAAGCCCAGCTGTTCCCACAGTGCTGGAAGCTTTCCCAGGAGTCACACCCCCTCCTCCCCAAAAGGGAGGGCTGGAGCTCTCCACGACACTGAAGTGGGTGCTTCAGTGTTCTGGGGTCTGAACGCAGGAGCAAACAGCTGCTTGAAACAGGATTTCCTAGGCTGAGACAGGGAGAACAACACACATACAACCCACATCTCCTTTCAGCATCACCCAGCAAATCCTTTCTGCTACACGACAGCAAGAAAACACCTCTTTAATTTATAGCTATACTGCTAGAATATTTTTCACTACATGTGCCATAACACTAAGGAGACCAAGGAATGAAGAGGGTTCAAGAAACAGCTCAGTGTGTTTGCTGCTGCTTGCAAATCTTCCTCACCTTCACCTGGAGCAGCAGATGTGTCAAACCCAGGACTCTGCTAGCACAGAACCCCCTAAGGACACCAATCCTTAGGGACACCCCCTGGGAAACAGATGTGACCCTCTAAAGTCAGTGTGCTGGAAGTAAACAAGGAAACCCTGGCAAGGACAATTACCAAGATCTGGATGGCTCACAGAGACCACACAGGCAGGAACTCAGCAGCCAAAAAAGGCTGCAAGCCAAGCCCTGTAACTAAACAAAATGACACCTTGCATCAGCAAGACTTTCTGTAATGCTGTTTCTCAGGCAGGTTTGTGCTTCTTTTGTGCTATGAGGAGGGCAAAGGTTCCAAAGATGGTCTGAGGAGGCAGAATGCCTTTGTGGGGAAACTGTATTGACAGTAAAGTTATCTCCTGGAGCAGAAGAGAGGGGCAATGATGCTCTGCACCTTCCATCTCTGGGGCTTTAATGTGTGCATTTATCCAGAGCAGATGAGGAATCATTACTGGGATGTGAGGACAGAGGACAAAACCTGTGAAAGAGAGAGCACTGGAAGGTGACATGTTCATGCTTAAGCCAACATTCCTGGCCAAGTTTGGGGATGCACTTTGAAAGTGCAGGAAATTGGATACTCAGTGTTTGTCCCTTTCCTCTGTATCACACCATGCTTATTAATTCCTGGCATCCCTTATCTGATACTTGCCAGTTTAAAACCAGTTTTCAGCTCTCTGGGGCTCACAAAGGGGTGTCAGTTACTGCTAAGCAAAGGAAATAAGTTTCTCAACATATGAAAGGGCAAGATGTTTTCAGGCAGCTGATCACCAAGCCAGCACAGGAGACACAGGGTCTGACCACTGCAACCAAGCAGAGACCCAAGCAAAACCACTCCCTGACCTCTGGTGAGGGCTGCAAGAGCAGCTTCAACTCCTCTGATCTGGAAGGGACAAGGAGCAAGAAATCAGGTTCCCTTGCACCATGACCTCATGCTGGAACCATGCAGCAGCAGCAGAGCCAAGGGACAAGGACTCCCCACCCCTAGCAGCTGATCCCATTTCTATGGTAACACCAGGCACCAACTCTGAGGACTCAAGTGTACTTAAAGCTTTCTCCACTGCAGCCTAGCAGCCCCACCATGAAGAAGCACCCACGGCCCCCCAGGGCAGCCCCACAGCATTCCAAGCTCCCAGGGACTTCACAGACCTGGTGGGGACAGGGAACTTTGTTCAACTGCTGCCATCCACTGAGATGCCTTTCACGTGAGATTCTTGGGGATGTGCAGTAGCAAATGTCTCCAGAGCAAGGCCCTGGAGCACTTAGGGGCCAAATCCAAATCTCTGCACAGAGCAGGGGTGGTACTGCCATAGGGCCAGCAACACACCAAGTGTCCTCACTTGTCCCTGCACAGATCAGGACTTGGCTTCACAGCCAACTTGCAGGGCTTGATCAGAGACAGAAGAGCTGGTTATTAGACACCAAGGGGGGATTCCCCTGTAGGCATAAAATCAATCCTGCTGTGGCACCATCTGATGAAGGAAATTGTCAGTAGGATCCTTACAGTTCCACACTGGAAAAAAGAGCCCAGAGGATCTTGCCAAAACCTTCCTTACCCCTTGGAAAGCAAGACCAGGCTCTTCAGACACCTCCACGTGCTTTCCACAGCCAGGCAGGCAGCTCCATTCCTTGGCTCTAGGTTAGTGCTCCATGGCACTATCCTGGAGTCAATGCAAGGAGGATCCAGAGCAGAAGACCTTTCAGATTTCAAGTCCTTCTTGTGAACTAGACTGTAGCTCCCAGAAAGCCTCTTTGCTTTTTTTTTCTCTCTCTCTCTCTCTCTCTCCATTTTCCCCAGGCCTTTTCCCAACAGTGCAAGACAAAAGCATGGGGGTCTCAGATGAGGTAATCCTAGCACAGTTTAGAGAAACACAACCCTCTAAATGCCTGGGAACTAGTAGGCACTGAGGAGGACAGACCTGGAGTTGGGATGTATCAAAACTATTCAGGGCTCTTACTGTAAGGTTATACAATTCACTTCCTGACAGTGCATGAGCATGAGATTTTTCCCTGGATATTCAAACATGACCCATAAGCAGGACCTGTCATTGAGCAGAAAGTCCACCTGGATCAGTATAAGGGTGAACTGGTTGTCAAAACCCAACATTTCACCAGACTTAGCACAGTTTAAGAACTCCACTTGGCTTAGATAAATGTCATGACAAGATTCAAGTGATACACCCTGTACAGAAAATCACAAGGTAGGAAAAATGACTTACCCAGATTTAAAAAGTAAAAAGCCTTATCAAATATTTAAAACCTGAAGAATCACACTTGAATTCAGAAGCATTTATTTACTGACAGGCTCTAAAGAGTTTCCATTTTTCCAAGCACTGAAGTATGTTTTCTGCCCCTACATTGGCTGACCCAAACACTTGCTGTCTAATAAAAATTTACTTCCTTGATAACAGAGATCTGCTGCAGAACTGCACGTTCTGCTGGAGGAGAGAAACCTCAGCCCTCTAAAATACAATTTTCATACAGATTCTGAGCTGGAGACTCCTTATACAAGATCCCACCAGACTTTACCCAGGGAAGACAGTTCACTTTTATCGATGAAGTCTTGGTAGCTGCTGTTCACTCAGACTGTTTTTTCATTCTGCAGTTCTAGTTTCCATCACTCATTTCTAAGCTGCACCTACTCAACAGTTTCCTTTTCCTGTTTTTCTTCTAGATGTACTGTTAATTCAGAAGTAAATCCACCCATCAAAATACACCCGTGCATCTATTACCATGCCCTGGATCTGTACTTACATACAATAAAGAATTCCAAAAGCCAAAGAGCCTCTTCTCTGCCCAAGTAACAAGCAATGCTCAGACCTGAGGATGGTTCTGGGTGGCTCTATTATTTTTCTGACTCTGCTGCCACCTGCACCACCTCCCAGTTTTGGTTAATTTGCTCAAATGTCTGTTTTTCTATACACATCAATCAAGTTCCTAACACTTGGCTACAGTCTCAATATCAAGAACACAGCAAAAATGAACTCTAGGACTGAGACTCGCTGAGAATGCCCAGCCCAAGTCTCCCCTTGCATCCAGAAGGATGATACTACCAAAAGCATCACTGCCACTCTCTGAAGGAACTGAAGGGTTAAGAGCCAGGTGGGTTTTGTCTGGCTCCCTATGACCAACCAGCTCAGAACAGACACACTACTGCCCCGGAAAACCTTTTCTGTGGTCCTTCATTATTGTAACAGCTTTTTAAATGAGGAGCCTTCCTCCCCAGTCATCTCAAACACTCTGCTGAAGGCCACTAGAAATCCATCCCTGCTAGCAATTAACCTTCTCTCGGTGTTTCTCCGCAGGGTCTGAGAGGAAAATGCTGAGCTCTGCTTCCTTCCCCGGAGCTGTGGCACACAGGGCAGAGCCTGCCGCCAGCACCCACCACACGCTGAGGAAACGGGGTGCACAGAGCCCGACAAGGCCCTGCCTCTCCTCCTCTTCCTCGCCTCCCCCTCAGCGCCGATCCTCTCCCGCTCCCTCACACCAAGCTCAGAACCCAGAGCCAACTTCAACACCCAAGGACAAGACTCAAAGCTTTCCTATTTTCGCCGTTGGGACTCCAGGGTCCCACATG